GAATTGTATCTTTTGGTTGATTTTCATTGATTTTAATATGAAAATAAGTTTGATCAAATATTGGAGAATTATCATTAATATCAAGAAGTGTTAAATAAATAAATAATTCTGATTGAAGTGATATAAATGATGATTTAATTATATGAGAATTCATATCTAAACGACGTTTAAGAAAATCATCTATATTTAATGATGAACTTTGACGTGATGATAAACGTCTTTTTTCAGTTCGTATTGGACGTTCACCATTATCATTTGCTATTAAATGTAATATATAATTTTCATATTGATCACGATCAAGCATTCGAACAGTAAATAAACCATAAACATTCGGACGAAATACAGATAAACGAAAAAAATCTGATGCACGACATAATGTTAAATTATCTTGAATAGGAAAAGAATTTTTTTTTTTTCATTTTTTTATTTTGAAATATTTTATTCTTATTTCTTTTTACCTATTTGAACACGTTCTGGTGAACATCGAATATATGTTTGTAATTCAAGTGATAAAATACCATTTGATGTTTGATCACTATCACGTAAATGAAGTAAACCAAGTAATACATCAGCTGGTAATGGTTCTTCTCTTATTATATGAATTAATTGAGCATCACTTTCAAGAAGATTTATATTCGAACGAAATGAATTTAAAAGACGATTTTGTTCTAAAATGAATTTACAACAAAAAAAAATTTATTGATCTATTTTGAAATGTTTATTAAATTTAAAAATATTATACAAAGACATATAATTGTTTGATTTAATACTGTTTAGATGAAAGATTGTTTTCTTAGAACTCGATATACTTTTACAAATAGATTAGTGGCAATAGTCAACTATGAACTATTGTCCACTACTCGAAAAATTATTGCCAACGTATTTCTTTTTTTGGAGATAAGAACAACTGCTCATAGTTTGACTGGAATGTTGCTCAATACTAAAAAAAACTGCTGACTACAGCACAGACATATACTATGAAACTATATAAAATCAAATAAATTGATTATTCTCGTATGTTATTGAGCATATCATATGAATTCTGATATAACAATGATTAATTTCTGATGTATTTTTTTAGGAACTATTCATCAAGACAGAAACCAATCGAGAGAGATGCCGAATAAATCAGTATCATAAGACTGTAGATTTGGTGGATTTTTATATTAACATATCATATACCGTACTGTTCAAAATTATGCGAATAAAGTGTCTATAATCTTTTATTAAAAAATTACAAATATCGTTAAAAGAGAAAAAAAGGAATAACAGCTTCAGGTTGACTTTTTCGATAAATTTCACATTTTCTTTGCTTTTTTTTTTCGTAATACCTGTATCTTTTTATTAGAAGGTCGTAGAAAATGCGGCGACCTATTATTTTCTTCAGTGCCTTTTGTTCTTTCAGGTGAAATTCCCAAAACAACGTTTTCAAAAAAGCTTTCCGCAATCTGAGAAATATTGAATTTAGTTTTTTTAGAAGTTACATTATTAAAGCTCATTTATGGAGTCTTCGTATACAATGCATTTGATAGAGAACTTTATTGATAAGTCCAGTAACTATCTTGATTTGAATTTGATGCTAAGAAAATCTTTCAAAAAAAATTTACAACACTTTATTCTTATAATTTTGGACCTTACTGTACATTATCAATTCTAACACAAACAATGTAGTATTAACGTGAACTTTGTAAGCAATAGAAACAGTTGACTTTCTCCATCTCGAGTAATTGAGAAATATACACTGTCAACAGAATAATATTGTATGATGTATTCACAAACCTTCAATCAATATACATATTTATTTATTGTTTATAAATCTTTAAGACCGAAATAGACCTAATTAATTTTTATTTTCAATACAGTGGGGGTCATAAGTCTTGCCCCACTTTTGTATTTTGAGTCGTCCATTTGAACTAAACAATGTTGATTTAATTTGATTATATATTCTTGTAGCGGAGATCGAGCACTATCTGTATACATCTGTTCCATACGGAAAACTCTCGGAATATAAAATAAAATAGGCAAAGCAATCTTCAGTCCTACGAAAAAAATGATACAAAAAAAGACAAAGTAATAATAAAAAATGTTTAGAAGACTTTTCTATGCAATAGAAATTTGTTTACGCTGTTTTTGTCAAGCTTTTGACGCTGCATCTTCTGAAGGAAAAATCAAGATGCTATCGTTATCTCGAGTCGAGATATATGCAAAATATGAAAGTCTTTCAACCATTTTTATTAGGTGAAAAGTAGCACTCTTATGTATTTTTTTCATTTCGAATGCGAAAGAAATCATCAGTACGAATGAATAGAAATTGGTTTCTACAATTTTTATAGTACTTGTCACGACGCATCTTTTGATAAAAAAACCAAAGCTTTATCATTTGTTTGTGCAGGGATATATGCAAAACAACTTATGCTACTAACGTTTCGGACCATAGTGTTTAATATTTTGATTATAAAACTGTCACTTCTGCATGAAATTTAAAATATTTTTTTATGAAAATAATCAGCACAAAAAGCTCTACAAAGTATGATAAATGAAGAACTTTTCTCAATACTTCGTTTATTTTGTAGTTGACTGTGCATGTGACAACAATATCACTTTGTCTTTTTTTGTGTCATTTTTTTCGTAGGACTGAAGATTGCTTTGCCTATTTTATTTTATATTCCGAGAGTTTTCCGTATGGAACAGGTGTATACAGATAGTGCTCGATCTCCGCTACAAGAATATATAATCAAATTAAATCAACGTTGTTTAGTTCAAATGGACGACTCAAAATACAAAAATGGGGCGAGACTTATGACCCCCCACTGTACATTTTATTTTACTAACCATAATTTAGATATGGATTTGATATATTCATAAATTTAACACTATCATCTTGTTTATCTTCATTTGGCATTGTAAAAATAATTTGTGGTTTTTGATCATTAACATCTTCAATAGTTATAATTATATCTGCATATGATGGTACTGATGGCCATAATGTTGCTTCAACATCACCATGATCTTTTGCTTCAACCATAAGTGTATAATCTCTTTTTGTTTCATAATCAAGTGAATAATCCAATAAAAATAATTCTCCTGTATCTTTATCAATTTTAAACATTGTTCTATTACCTGATTGTATAAGATCATGACCAAATAAAGTATAAGATATTTTTCCATTAAGAAATATATCTGGATCGTAAGCTTGTACACGACCAATTAATGAACCTGGTTGAATATTTTCTGGTATAATAAAATGAAAATGTTCACTTTCAAATTGTGGTACATGATCATTAACATCAAGAATAACAATAGATAATTGAATTGTTATTATATCATTATCACTTAAATCATTTTCATCTATTAATTGTCGTCGTATTGTATACATTGGTGTTTGTTCACGATCAAGTAAACGAATAACATGTAAATTTAATGTACAACTTTCATTTGTTAATAATTGTATTTCAAATGGTATATCATGACGATGATATATATTTGATTTTATTGAATATTTTAAACAAAATGATGAATCAAATGTATCAATTATTTGTGTATGACCAATTGGAGCATCTTCTGAAACGAACAACCTTAAAAAGATATTTAGATTAATTATAAAATTATTTAAGAAGTTTATTTTAATACATACATATATGTTCGATTACGTTCAGATAAATTTGAATTTATAGATGAATTTTCATCATCAGTTCTTGTTAAGGAAATCATACAGAAAAGAACCAAGACATAATTTAATGGCAACATAGTACATTTATAACAATGTTGAAATGTTATTATATATGTGAATATATATATGTACGTATTGATGTCGTGATATAACACTTAGCATTCTAATAGAATAGTTCAACAAGTTCTAAATGATGACAATCGTTGTTTGATGACATTGATTTTTTATTCTTAGAACTATTGAACAATTTTTTTCTTGTTACGTGTATGTATATGTATATCGATATCAATTATCTAGTTTATTCTTTCGTACGCTTTCTCTATGGGACAAAAAGAAAAAAAAAATGAATGTTGTCACCTGAAGGCTTAAATTCTTTTTTTTTTTCTTTCTTTTATCGGACTAGTTCACTCACTTGTACTATACTAAAACGAGAATAAGATATGATGCTTGAGTGCATGCGATTATTGAACTTGAAGCCGGCAATCTTTCTATGTTTGTGAACTAAATAAATAGTAAAAAATGAAGACACAATTACATATACAAGACATTCGTTCAATAGAGATGTACCGCCTATCGATAGTCATTTACTTTCTCTTTCCTTCGGGTAATGAGCACGCAAGTGTTCATTGTATACATATATATCTAACCATATACATGAAAACGACTAATTCACTAAGTATATAGACTTACTTGTTGTCTATCTGTCTGATTGTCTGTATAAAAGAAGATATTTAAGAATTTATTTGTATTAGCAATAGATAATTAAATCAAAAAGTCTTTTTGTTAAATGATTTTTACAAGGCTTTATCTATAAGGAGAAAAATCCTTGAAATATAGATTTTATTTGTTCTGTTAAATATGAACCAAACGAAATACATGTCTTTTATTGTATAACCAATAATACATATATATATATATGTCATTTTGATCGCTTAATAAAAGCAAAGAACTTGCTTTTGTTCGTTTGTATATAATGAAATATGAATATTCACTTGAAACAAGAGGTTGAATGCAAATAAAATTGATATATAAATATGCATATTTGACAATCTACTACTATTCAATCATTTTTTTAAACAATATCTCTTTCACTGTGTGGGTCGATGCAATCTTATACATATATAAAGAAAATTGATTTATTTGTTGTTTTTAATGTTTATTCATCGATGAACGTCATTTGTTTATTGATCATTATGTTTAAATTATTTCTTCGTTTGTGACTCTTGAATTTAATAAAACACTTCTATAATAGAATTTCTATATTTTTCAACGGATTGTAATCAATTCAAACAAATTTTTAAGTTTAATAGAAAGACAAAGTAACAATACAATGGGTGATGCAAAAGTTTCTGGAAATATGTCACTTTGTTTTCATCGACTAAAAAATATTTCGGAAAATATTAAAAATACTCATACAAGATCTACATTGAAAGTCTTTTATATAACTGTATGCTCAAGAAAGTTTTGATTTTCTTTTCAAAAATTTTGTATATTTTTTTTCTATTCATTCTCTATTTGATAGATATAGTATCTGTAGATGATTCGTGTATGATTGTGTAGTACAGCTCATCCACCACTTATATTAACAATATATATAAAATATTTGAAAAAAAACAAAATCAAAATCTAAGTTCTACTTCTAATTGAAGAGAGTATAGAATATCTATTCCTTCAACCAACGCCATAATGAATT